GCTCTCCTTAACTCCACAAGTGTGCCAGGCTCTGCCCAGATTCCCCTACCTGTGGCCTGGAGACCTTTCTCATGGTTGGAGCTGGCACTCTAAGAACTTACCACTGATTCTGGAGGGTCAAAGTGGAAGGAACACACAGTTGAACTGGACCAGAGTCACTGATCTGGGTCCCCTAAGCAGAGATTCTGGCCTTCAACCTTTTAGCTGGAGGAGTGAGGAGTGACTCTCACGTCTGTTTAGTTGGCGGGAATAGGAAGCCCAAGGTGGGCTGCAGTCAGTGAAGCTGAAATGCCAGACTTTCCAGGTGTATCTCAGGGGAGGGGGCTTGCAGGCCTGAGGAGGCTGGAATGACAGGGTGCACTCATCTTGGAAGACCTGCTCACCCATCCCAGAGGATCCAGAGAACCACCCTTTGCCATGCTGTGAGGATACATCTGTAAGGGGAGCCCTGCATCCTTGACAAGCTCTGTGGCCACTATTCTCTGTACGTCAGAAACTGTAGTGGGTCTGCCTGGGCAGCCACCAAACTGCATTCCCCAAATGCAGTGAGGACTATGGGATCCCAGCATGGCAGGGGCCAAGCGGTGCCCCTTAATCACCAAAGACCAGGTGGGTGTGGCCAGTGTGCTGGTCAGTGGGGCCAGACCAGGGGTCGGAAGAGTCTGACCCCCAGGTATTGGCTCCTAGGGCTTCTGCCACTCTGACTGAATCCTAACTGACATACATTCCTATTGGGGTTGCTGCTAACATTTAGCAAGAAAAGTAAACCAAAAAGCCAGACTCCTCCAACACTAACACAAAATGCAAACGGTGCTAAACACATCGCTAAATCTGTACGACACTCATCTTCCTACAGATCAGTACTTTTCAAAATGTCTACTTTGCTTTCCTAAAAAACTCTACCAAAATAAACTGTAACTTGTTATTTACAAAAATAAATTCTAAAAATGTTTTTAACCCCATGGTTATTAGTCTCTTAATAGTACTAGTTCTTACAAATAATCTAGTGGCCAGCTCAGTACTATTATCCACTCAAGATTTTTTTTTAAGTATACAGTAGTCCCCCTTATTCCAAGACCCCCAGTAGATGTGTGAAATTGCAGAGGGTACCAAACCCTTATATACTATTTTTCCCTACACATACATAGCTATGATAAAGCTTAATTTATAACTGAGGCACAGTAAGAGATTAACAATAATAATAATAAAATAGAACAATTATAACAATATACTGTAACAAAATTTGTGCAAACATGGCCCTCCTCCTCTCAAATATTTTACTGTGCAAATTTAAGGCCTTTTCCATCTTAACCAAGCACTCATCGCAAACTGGCCATACCTTCTGCAGTCTGAGGTACGACCGGAAAACCAGCATAAATTTCTTTTTCCTTCTTCACAATTTCATGGACAGAAGATTTGTTCTCACCGGAGACCTCAGCAACCTCTCAGCACACGATTTTTTTCTTTCTGTATTACTCCTCGTGCTTTTACCTTTTCACTTAAAGGAAGCATTTTATTGGGGGGAGCATATAGCTCAGTGGTAGTGTGTGCTTAGCATGCATGAGGCCTTGGGTTCAATCCCCAGTTAATAAATAAATAAATAAATAAATAAATAAATAAATATCGAATCCCCTATTAAATAAATAAATGAATATCGAATCCCCAACCCCCCCAAGAAGAAAAAACAAAAAACATTTTTTTAAAAATAAATAAAGGAAGTACTTTCTGGCTTCTCTGTGGCATTATCTGAACTGCCAGCATCACTACTCTTGCGCTTTGGAGCCATTATTTAATAAAGTAAGGGTCACTTGAACACAGCACCGAGGTACTGTGACAGTCGATCTGATAACCGAGAGGGCTGCTGGGTGACCAATGGGTGGGATACGCTGGACAAAAAAGGATGATTCACGTCCCAGGGGGTCGGAGAGGAAAGGCAACAGAGTTCACTGTACTACTCAGAACAGCACAAAACTGAAAACTTACGAGTTGTTTATTTCTAGAATTTTCCATTTCATATCTTCGGACTGCAATTGACTATGAGTAACTCAAACCGTGTGCAGCGAGATGATGGACGTGGCGGGGGGGCTACTTACTGTACGACTTGTGATCATGTGAGAGACTGTTTCCATTACTGATACATAAGCAATCACAAGATGTGTCACCGAATCATTTCCCAAAATTCCCTAATCAGAGCTATATAATCTGAATCTTAATTGCCATGGAGCATAATGGAGGGCCTTTTATAGTTCGATGTAAGGAAGACAATTATCTCAATCACAGGCGACACTGAACACATGTGAAAAATGAACATGGAATAAAAGTCACTGAACTTCTATCCTCTCTACCAGCAAAGCCACCACGAGTTTTCTCAGCAAATACAACGGCTGGAAAGTCACAGCATCCCCCTGCCCCTCCCGGTCCCCTTCACATCACAGCAGCCTGCAAAGGGCAGTCTCCATCCTTGCCCCGCCAGCCAGCCTGCTGCCCACTCTCCTCCTCCTTCCTACCAGAAGCCCCCCCGCAGCCCGGCAGTGACTCTGGACCAGAGGCTCACACCCACCTCATCTCACTCCGTCTGTTTGATGGGCTCCAAGGGAGGAAGGGGAAGGAGACGCAGCAGAGGCCATGCCAGGCCCACCCTTGCCAGCCCATGGGAGAGAAGATACTGCAGACAGACCCACCGCAGCACTCACCACCCCGCCATCGTCATGGGCCCCTCACTCCTGTCCTCACCAGCCAACCCCTGCAGGGTGTCAGGCACGGCCGAGGGGGCCCTGGGGGTGGCGGCCCAACATCGCCTCCTCCATCCACATCGAGGGGCAACCACTCCCTTCACAGAGGACAACTCACCCTCATGGTCATTAGTGGAGTGGACACTGTGGCCCCCAGGAAATGAACCAGAATAATCACAGGGGCTTCTTCAGTCTTACACCCCACACCCCAGGAAGATGGAAACAAATCATTAGAGTAAAGGCTAACATTGGAGCTTGGGATAAAAGAAAGATTCATTACAAAAACATGTATCAAACCCACAATGAGGTATCGGCTCACACCTGTTGGGCTGGCTATTACCAAAAAGGCAAGAAATAGCAAATGTTGGTGAGGATGTGAGAAAAGGGACCCCTCATACACTGTTGGCGGGAATGTGAATTGGTGCAGCCACTCTGGACAACAGTATGGAGGTTCCACAAAAAACTAGAAATAGACTTACCATGTGACCCAGCAATCCCACTTCTGGGTATTTATCCAAAGAAAACAAAAACTCCGTACGCGCTGTGTTAAGACATGAAGTCTGGGGTTTGTCACAGCAGCTGGTGTGACCCTAAGCAAGGCCCTCGCCCCCTAAGTCAGAGGGGCAGTCAGTCAAGCTAGGAGAGCCCTCTCTCTTCCTCCCGGAGTGTGGGAGGTAACAAGTCAGTGGGGCCGCACCCTGGAGAGCAGCGAGCTGGCACCTGGGCGCTGAGAAGTTCTGCCGCAGTGGCTCCAGCTGGTGCCACTCTCCTTGGGCGAGGCCTGAGATCCCACCTACTGCTCTAGTGCCCCCCAGGACACACCTGAGCCCCCTCCCCAAGAAGGCCCCACTCCTCAGCAGCAGTGAGTACACACATCCTTTGCGGTAAGATGATGGGTCCTGTGAGAACCTGCATCCCAGGGCCAGAGCCAGGGCACTGCGAAGGGGGGCTGGGAGATGTGCACCATCCCTCTCGTCCCACACACCCACCCAAAGGAGGTGTCTGCACTGGGGGGCCGAGGAGGAGGGGCAGAGCAGGCTGTCTCCATGACCCAAGCCACTCCACATCACAGCCACAGTGTCGGGCCCCACGGCCCACGTGCCTGCCGCCACCTCCCTCTGCACAGAAGAGTCAGCTTCTCGGTACATGAGCTGCAATTTACTTGTAAATAATCCAGCAAGGGGCTTGGGTGACACAAGACTGGAATGTTGACACTGCTGATGACGGATGCGGGCACATGGGGGCCCATTATACTAGTCTCTCTACTTTTGTGCCTATTTGAAAATTTCAATATAAAAAAATTTTAAGGAAATTTCTCAAGATATAGTAGAAGAGGAGGCCCACTGAATTAAACCCCTCCTCCTTCCTGACACCTTTTCAGGATGTCACAGTTACTCTAGTGAAGGAGGAGGTGTTTACAACAGATAGGTTTGTGGCGATTTTTTTCTATTTCCATTAATATTTAGTACATGTCCTTATCTCCAAAGTCCCATCACTTAAAGAAGAGATTTTAAATAATTGATTACTACAAAAGAGGGAAGAAGTCACGCCATCTTTTTCATTATCCATCAAATCCCGGAAAACCTCTTCCTCTAGTCCTGACACAGACACATAAATATATTAATGCATGCACCGAGGAGAACATACACACGAATCAATAGATGCAAATTCGCCTGGGGTGCTTCTCAGATGGAAAAACCATCACCCTCTTTCCACCTGCCCTCCCCAGCACCATGCCCCAGCTCCGGGAGAGAGGGCTAGGGGGATCCCTTTCTTCAGCCTTCCATTCAAATACAGTCTCTCCAGATAAACAGAAATACCGCACCGAGTTTCACAGTCTCCTAAACACACAAAAAAGCCAGCATTTCTGGAATTCAGATAAGACACATTCTGTCCGCGTATCACGCATAAGCACATGTAGGTGCCCAGACACGATTACCGGTCTAGAGAAATCACTTGCCTCTGCATTTACTGCGTTATCTTTGCTGGGGGGCGTGTCCTCTAAGGCGGCACAGCACAGAACGAACAAAGAGGGCGCTCGTGAGCACCTGCGGCCAACAGCGCGATGCTGTCCCGGGGGCCAGCGCGAGGCGCGGCGGTCACTACTTACGCGCCTCTGCACTGGGAGGTCATGAGGACAGGGTGCTAGGGCTCCCGCTGTCTGCAAGGAAGCTGGACTGCTCTTGGGCATCGCCTTGCCAGCGCTCACACCTCCGCAGGTAGACAGCCCTGCTCCAAGGCCACCGCAGACACCTGGGTGCGACTTACCACGAGGGAAAGAGGCCTTTTCCAGGAGACAACGCCGATGAGTCCAGACAGCAGCACCTGGGGGACAGAGAGAGCAGGAAGGTGAGGAACCTCCGAGGATGGCACATTCATAGCCTGCAGCCACCATGCGGGGCCAATGAAGATGACCAGCTCTGCGAGCTCTGAGAGCAAATGCTCTTTCTGAAAGAACCTCCACCAGCTTTCTTCTCCTCCCTCGGGTCTTCTGAGATACTTAGCTGTGTGATTTAAACATCACAGAGAGGACTGGACACACTACTCTGGGAAAGGCGGTGCTGTCCCACTCACATGTCACCCACCACCAGCCTTCTCTGTGTGGGCTCCAGGCACAGCAGGCCCACAGTCTCCCTCTGTCCTCCCACCCCCTGGGGTCCTCCAGCCCCTGCAGGGCCTGCCCCTCACTCTCGGCATGGCCCCCAACCCACCGAGGAGGCTCTGAGCTGCCCGCCCCTCTCCCAGGCCCCCAGGTCCCCAAGGGGGTTCCCCCGGGACTCCCCAGCAGTCATCCCTCTGCCCGGTTCCCCCAGTGCCCTGGGTCTTCTGACTCTCAGGAGAAACATGCTGGGCTCCCGGCCCTCCTTTGGGGCTGGGCCACCTCCTGAGGGCACGTGAGACCCACACTGGCTGATACCCACACTCCCGGGCTCCTGGCGTCCAGCCAGGGCCAACAGACCCTGGAGACACTACCGCTCCCCACCCACCGCAGTCTGGCTTTGGCCCCCACTCCCCTGCAGACACTCTTCTCCCAAGGTCATCCAAGGCTCACCAAGTGCAACAGACAAGGGCCATCAGGGTCATCATGACTGGGGGCTGCCCCCATCCTCCAGCCGAGGTGCCCTCTTCACTAGGCTCCGTGTCGCCCCTTTAGGTCCTCGCTTCTCTGGGTTCCCCTCCTCTCTGGTCTGTCAGGCCTTCTCTTCTCTCCCCACAGCTTCCTTGGAGACCCATCTACCATTCAGGCTCCTCCAACAGCATCTGCTAATGCCTCCTGCAGGTTCCTCCCCAGCCCAGAGCTCTCCCCTGAAGGCTGTCCCTCACTGTCCACCTCGAGATGTCCGCAGATGCACCTGCATTCGTGACTTCCTCCACCCAGACTCCCTCTGTCACCTCTGCCCTCCACAGTGGGACCCCCTCCTCCTGTCCTCTCTCCCTCACCCCCAATATCCCACCACACAGTGAGGAGGTGGCAGCTGCAGCTTCCCCTTCAACAGGGCAATATTCCCAGAGGCCCCCTGTAAGTAAGGTCCTGGTGTTTCCATACGGGGTCTCCTGCAATGATACATCACCCCAAATTCCCACTGTGGGCTGGAGGGGCTGGGCTGCATATCCCCTGGGATTCCCAAAGGACTGACCCTGGACCCAGAAGTGAGCATGCTACTGAAGGTCCCCTTGGTGACAGACCTCAGTGGGATCAAGTCTTAGACTATCATCTGCTACCACACCCAGTGCCATGCTGGCCTCAGAGATTTCCAAAAACATCCGGACCAGAAGTTTTATGTGACAGACTCTAAACCTTATTCACACACACAAATTAACAAATAAAAATGAACGAGAGAGCTAATCAGTGCTCTGATTCCAAACCTAGCATCCTCTCTTCAGTGCACGTGCATCTTCCAAACACAGCCAGTGCTGACAAGTATTATTTACAGAAACCCTTGCCTACATTCTCCCACATTCTCTGAGGCCACGTCTGCATCACTCTCATTCCACAGTGCCTCTCCAACCTTCCTCTCCCCTCCTGCGCCCTTCCAAATCCAACACTCGATCTGTCAGAACACCCCTTCTGGTGATGAATTCTTCCTCCTGTGTGGATACATGATCTCCCTCGCATCATTTTCCAGTCGGATGAAACTGCCCTTTCTCATGAGGCCAGGGTGCTAGGGCTCTCATCATCACCTCACGCTCCACATCTCAAACCCTGATCTCATTTCTCCACCTCCAAGCCTTCTTTTGGTGAGTCAGAAGTTTCTGCCAATCTCAAGTCCTCATCTGAGCTCGGGGCACAGTTCAGGGGGCCGTCAGGCATGGAGCTGAGCTAGCTCTGCTTCTCAGCATCTCTCCTTGTGTTTCCCTCCCACTCCCATCCCCACCTGCATGCTCTAGATTCACCAGCCTGGAATCACCTCTACCTGCGCTCAGCTCCTCACCACCTCTGCCCCTTCCCCGAAGCCATAATGGACACCTCCACCAGGTGAACCTCACTTCCCTGGTGCCACCGACCAGACCCACACACATTTGGTCTCCGATGTCCACCTCCACTCGAGTCCTGTCCATTCTGGGCACCTTGAGTGCCTGCACCAAAGCCACTGCGTTTCTCAAACACAAGCGCTGGCATGGAAACCCTGCAGGCTGTCTTCCCTCCTGTCACCCCAACCCTCCGGGCCCCTTGCCTCAGTCCCCACCCTTTCTCTTCCTTCAGACCGATGGCCAAGTTCTAGGGGCCCCGGCTCTGACCCTGCCATGTCTCCAGGACTGACTTTCAGGAGTGACCGCCCATTCTCCTTTCACATCAACACTAGCCTTGCTCAGACTAAGCCTGGATGGAGGATGAGGACTATCTCCCAGAAAACATACACTCAGGCCCCACCCCCACCTCCTGTCTCTACCATATGCAATTTCACCTGTTCGTCGAGACATGGCCCAATGGCCCCTCGCTCAGGAAGAGCTTACGAATTCGAGAGTCCGTGAGGTCCCACTGAGTCCTTAAACTACCCCAGAACCCCAAGGCTTTTCTAAAATGCTCAGACGGAACCCCTTTATCTTCTCAGCTGACGTTTCTAAAACTATCAGATCTCTCTAATGAACAAGCTGCTTATAACAAGGATTTTGTTGAACCTCCAAAGAGCAGGAGTTTATAACCATAGAGGAAATGAACAGCACTTATCTTTGGCTGCAGTAAAAATTCTTGACTTTACCCCATCTTCATTATAAAGTTATCATCCCCTCAAGTAATTTTACTTCCAACAAACATGGACAATTTGCTTCTTGAAGATAATTTACATTTCTAAATATCATTAGTGATTATAATTGGGAATGGATCCAATTCCCCTCTACGGAGGCAAAAACTAAAACCATCCAACTCAGTGAGTGAGGCGCGCAGATTCCAAGATTATCCTGTGACCTTGGATAAGGCCTCCCCCTGGCGTGTGACATGATGCGCTATCCAGTGATCCTCCCCAGCAACAGCATCTTGAAATGCTGCTGCCCTGGCAACACCCTGACTGCAGCCTCGTGGGACCCTGGCCAGTTGACCCTGCTAAGCTGCGTCCAGACTCTGGACCCAAGAAATCTGGGAGGTCATACACAGGTGTTGTGTTGAGCTGCAGAGTTTCTGGTAATTTGCTCTCAGCAACAGAAACTGAATTGTTATGGATTGAATGTCTGTGTCTCCCCCAACCCCTTACATCCATATGCTGAAGCCCTCACCCTCAGTGTGGTGGTATTTGGAGATGGGACCTCTAGGAGGTGCTTAGGGTTAGAATAGGTTGTGAAGGTGGGGCCCTCATGGTGGGATGGTGGCCTTATAGGAAGAGATCTCTCACTCCATATGCACACAGCGTGGAAAGGCCATGGAGGACATAGAGAAGTCAGCAGTCTACAAGCCAGGGAGAGGGCCCTCACCAGATCTGACCACGCCAGCAGCCTGAGCTCAGACTTCCAGCCTCCAGAACAGTGAGAAAGTAAATTTCTGTTTAAGCTGCCCAGCCTCTGACATTTTGTCTCTGCAGCCCGAGCTTCCTCATACACTGACACATCCAGAGGAGGGTGCTGGAACACTGTTCCCAAATATCCCCTCTCTCCATGTCTGCTCCCAGGAAGAGCAGACTTCATTGTCCCCAGTACAGAAACACCAGCACCAGCTCTAACAAGGGAGGGCCAAGTTAGAGTGCACTGCAGGAGGCTTTCAAAGACCAGATGCCACCGTGCCTGGAGTCCCTGAGGACGCCTGGCTCCAGTCCCCGTGGCAACCAGGGAAGTGGAACCTATCCCTGCTCTGAAACGATCAGGTCTTAGCTTGGACTATCATTTGCTCAACACCAGCCACTAGGCAGGATTACACTGCAGGTTCTGCCATCTCAGTAATTCTGTACCACGCCTGGGAGTTACAGGGTCATGAGTCTAGTTGGCCGTGAAATTACCACATCTCCAGACACCCTTGTCCCATTTAATTTGCCAATATTGTGAGTCAAAGTCCCCAGTTTGCAAAGAAAATGAAGAGGGGAGGGTCAGAGAAGAGTAACATACAATTAAGTGGCTGTGAAAGAAAAGCTGAGAAGAATGGAGAAGGCAGGATACTGCTCCGAGAGGAGGCTTAACTTTCCAGCATCTGTGAGTCGTAAGGACGCCAACTGGTGCTTTCTCCACTTCCCCACTCCGCCTACAGAGAGGCGAGAGATAAAATTAGAAATGAGAAAGCGCTTCCTTCAGCAGACAGCATCAGCGGGGCTCACAGATTCCGAGGAAGGGGATGGCATCTTGAGAGCAGACGGTCTTCCCACTTGATTGGTGCTGCTGCCCGGACACCGAGGTCCAGAAGAAATCGGCTCTTCACATCTCGTCTCTACGATGGAAAAGCGCTTTCACTGCCTCCAACTGGGAATCTTCTTCAGCTCTTCAAATCCAGTTCAAAGGCAAATGGTAAATGCTACATTTCGGGGAGAGAAGCAAGTCTTTCTAGAATGCAGACTTGCAAGCCAATTAAGTCATTTCACAAGACACACGGCCGGCGCGCCCAATAGCTCCAGTGGTACCAACTGACCACTAAAAAGCCAGTGTTCACAACATGTCCAGAGAAAGAACTGTTGTGGCAATAACAGAGCAACAGTATTCTGAGCTGCCTGGAATGAAACAAGTCTCCGGACCCCCAACTTCAACAGCCTTTCAGACTGCAGACCTGCGCCACGTGGGCAAATCTCTCCCTTCAGTTTCACGGACTAGCTGAGTCTCCTACTCGACCCCACCTCTGTTTTCTTCTCTTTCTGCATGGTGCTTGTCCTCTGGGTCCCCCTGGAGCCACGTGGTCAGGCTCACTCAGGAATGCCAGCTCTCAGTCTTCCGTGTCCATCTCTGCTCCCTTCCGGGAAACACACGTGTCTTCACAGGCATCCCCTCCATGGCGTCCACCTCCTCCTCTCAGAACGATCCCCTACTCCCCATTCCCGCTCCCAACTGTTCACGTCCAGCCTGTGGTTCCAACTCCCTCCGCACAGCAGTACATCGAATTCAGAACCTGCACAAGGAAAGCCACTCTCCTTCTCAAATGACTTCCTCTACAACTTCCTCCACAACTCTAGAGCTTCCATTCGCTCTTCGTCAGCAGCAAACTGATAAATCAATGACAAAGGTGCCCCAGAAAGAAAAAAGTGAACATAAAATACTTATAAATATTATAAATGACTCATAAGTTGACA